TAGTAGAGACGGCGTTCCACCATGTTGGCCAGGCTGGTCTCGACCTCTTGACCTCGTGTGTGTGTGTGTGTGTGTGTGTGTGTGTTTAGTAGAGACGGCGTTCCACCATGTTGGCCAGGCTGGTCTCGACCTCTTGACCTCAAGTGACCCTCCCGCCTCCGTTTCCCAAAGTGCTGGGAGCACAGGCTTGAGCCACTGCGCCCTGCTTGCCACACACAGTCCTAAACATTCATTCACCTCTATAGCCCAGTGAGGTGCTCGTATCATTTCTCTTTTACAGTTGAGGAAATGGAAGCACAGAGAGGTTAAATAACATGCCCAGGGCCTCACAGCTGATAACTGCCCCAGTTGGATTATACAGACCCTAGATTTGCTGGTTTCTTAGCTGTGCTGTGCTTCTCCGTTCAAAGTCGTGAAACTAATACTTTTAAAAATTAGAATCAATTATAGCCTACTTCCAGGGTTTAAATCCTGGCTATGTGAGCTTTTGGAGCATGAAGGAATAGATATTCCCAGCAGGGATGTTTGTGAAGCACATCTTGCCATGATAAATGAAAACGTATTTTACCTTCTTTGGATGGGAGTAGCTTTGCTTTGCCTGGTGGTTCTGGCATGTGTCCTGGCGTGACACTGAAACCACATGTATAGTTAATTGGTTGGATGTGGCAGAGTTCAGTTATCTCATGGGAGGTATACCGGAACCAGCCTCTAGAGTATTTGGTGTCTTTCCAAGCCTTTTGCACTACCCACCTTGAGAAGTGCTTATTTTTCCTACTATTAATCTTATACTGGATTTGAAATATTGTGGAATTATTACAAAAGAATTGGGTACATGAAAGCTTATCAAATCAAATAAACTTTAAAATATTGTTTACATCTATACAAATAGATGATTTTAAAAAATTTTGGTACAGAAGGTAGTTATATAGTTAAGTACACTGTTATAAACAAGCAGGCCATCAACTGGGATTTGGGGAATGTTTTTTATTTTCTAGTCTTGTTTGTATTTACAGGGAGTATATTTTATTCCCATGAGATTTGACTTCTGTGACTCATAAGTAAAAAAATACAGTAAAATATTCAGGGTTTGTGTTTAACATAGTATGATTTTCTCCTGGACCCGATTATTGAGGACAGAATGCTGGAAATGACTATTTTCTTGGTTTCTTTAGCGGTAAACAATAATCAAGAAGTCATAAACATAACTTTATCTAAAACACTGTATGCTTTATTTCTTAGAAGACTTATGTGTTTATGGGTGACAGTGCAGTGTAATGGGTAGATTCACACAGACCTGGAATTAGATCCTTGTTATTTCCATTTTGTTGTGTGATTTTGAGCCAGTTACTTGACCTCCAAGGCTTATATTTCTCACTTGCAAAATTGAACTATTATTTACCTTTCAGGATTATTATTTGTTTCGAAAGTAATATATGTAAAATTCTTAATTTACAGGAAAGCTTACTAAATGTTAGCACCTTTTTATTGTATTCATTGTAATTATTGTTATTATAAAATACATTATTATTAAGTCTGGTAAGTATCTAGCACAGTAACTGAGATGTAATAATTCTTTCTATACCCCCAGATCTAAGCCACTCTTGACTGTTTACAGAAAAATCATAGAAGACAGATTCATAAATATTTTGCAAGTAGGATATGAAATATACATTAATTAGTGTGAAGTTTTGTATGATCACTTGATCTGGTATATAATTAATACTTTAGCAAAATGGATAATTGAGGTCACTGTATACTGAAACCTCATTAGTTTGGACTAATTGACCCAAATACTAGTTTGCTCTGCAGATTTTTTTTTTCTAGAATTTTGTTACGATTGAGTAGCTACAGTTATTGTTGTTAGTCATTAGTTGTTACTGTTTACTTATTCCTCTTAACTTTGGCTTTCAGTTGCTGCTATTCTAAATACCTGCTTCAAGGTATAATTAATAGTTGTAATAGCTGCATTAAGTTATTTATAAGCAGTAAACTTTGTTTTCTTAAATTGATTAAATAGAGATGCTGTACTTTATTATTAGTTAACAAAATCTTTCTTCATAGTACAGAGTTTACTTTTTTTGGAGGAAAGGGAACACGTTTTTCATCAATATTAATGTTACCTCAATGAAATCTATAACAACAATAAGTGTATTTTGCTTAACTTTACATTTAACATATTTTATTTTGTATTTATGGTCTCATTCAAATCCAGAATATTTCAGTTTCTTCTCCTTTAGGAAACTGGCTTAGGCATTTTGTATGTTTATCCTTACACACATTTCACTCCTTTTTGATGTTTAGTTATGTCTTACTATTCTTAAGCTTGACCTTTATTCTGGGTAGCCCATTTGTATCTAATTGTTTATGTAATTAGGTTGATTTACTATTTGATATTTCTTCCTTTTTTTTTTTTTTTGCCTAAGTGTGTTGCCCTTACTCCTTTTCACAGACTATTACACTCTTTCTGAAAGAATTTAGTAGCTTTTTCTTGCTTTATTTGCGGACGGCATTATAATAGCCAGCTTTCCCATCCTCTGTTCCTCCTGCTCCCCAACCCGTACCCCCATCCCTTCCTTTTCTTTCTTCCCTTTTTGGGCTTTTAATCTCCATTGATTTGCCTTCTTGGTCTTTTCTTCCAAACCACAAATAATCTGTTTAGTCACAGTCATACAGATATGTCTTTTATTTGTTTTGTTGATAGAAAATGATGGTTCATAGTAAACAATAGTAAATAGCATGCAACTGCCACAGCCTTTAAATGGTGCTACTTTCTCTTAAAGTGTTTGACTATTCACATTAGTCTTTAAAAAAAAAAGGATCACATTTTAATGGAAAGTTTCAGGTAAATTCCTTTTCCCTTTAATCGTTGTAATTTATTTTATGTAAATTTCAGGATTAGAATGGCTGAACACAGAAGAGCCTATTTCTGTCTACAAGGATCTATGTGGAAAAATAGTCATCCTTGATTTCTTCACCTACTGCTGCATGAACTGTATTCACCTATTGCCTGATCTCCGTGCATTAGAGCACACATACTCTGATAAAGGTATCTGCTCTTTAATTAGTTTCTAACAGACTGTTCTGGCATAGTCACTGGAAGAGTGGCTGACTCATTAGCTCATATGAGAATGAACATTTGGCAAGACTTCAGTGATTCTAAAAGTAATCTCTAATCTATGACATGTACCTTTTCATAAAGGGTTAAGCTTAGGGATCGTGGTCTGCCTATCTAAAGAACCAGCATTTAGTGTATGGTTTTTTTCTCTGAGGCTAAGGGCATAATTTGCTTTTTTCATGATCAGGTATTTTAAAAGGTCTTTGTATGTTGAGGTTTACTTAAATTTTTTCTATTAAAAAAATAAAATATATGACCTTAATTTTATACTCTTTTCACTGTGATATAAAGGTTTAAAGTTCTTATTAGGAAATGTGACTAGGCTTTCATTAATATTGAATGACATTAACTGCAGTGGAATGCCAAATATAACAGATACTCTTTCATTGACCCTGCTTCATTAAAAAATGATTTATTACAGCTAATGTTTTTCAAAGCACACTAGGAAATCCATTTTTATGGTATTACAGATTCTAAAGATGTAGATTACACTTACTGGCTTTAGAAGTTTGAAAAATTAATTTTTTTTTTTTGGTTTACTTTCTAAAAAAAGCATGGGAGTAAATGAAATTAATTAAAGGTACCATTTAATTAGGTTTAAATGAATTGAAGCGCTAATCTTAGAGTGGATTAAAAAAAAGAGATGGGGTCACCAATCCTGTGATAGTAAAGATGAGAATAGACGATATATGTACAAAAGTAAAAGATATTCTGAAACTAAACTTTAAAGAGGAAGTGATAGAGAAATCTTCAGTGCAACTTAAACTTCAGATGCTTCTGAATTGTAATAGATTGTATATTAAAATTACCAGTCAAATGATTTATCAAGAACTCAAATATTTCTACTAGCTAAATCCTGTTATTAAAAATATATCTGTATGGATTTAAGAAATGTGGATATCTTATCTCCTAGGTTTTGGATGCCAGTGTTTCTTGTTCAAGACATCACATTTATTGAACATGTTGTTATGTGCAGGGTACTCTGCTAACTGCTGAGGAAATATGTAACAAAATTGAATAAAAAGCATATGGAACCTGAGGAAAGGAGTAAGTCACTTTGCCTAGAAACATTGGAAAATATTTCTCAGAGAAGGAAACAATTGAGCTAGAACTTGAAAAATGAGCAGGAGTGCAGCTGAAAATGAAAATGGGGCAGAAGGGACAATCCTGGCTGAGGAAGCGTCAGGTAAACAAGCATGGAAGCACAGAGGAGTAGGATTCTTGCTCCAAGAACAGGTAAATAATTTAGTGTGGCAAGATGGTAAGGGTTCATGGTAAAAGTAAAAGGAGACAAAGGTAGGTTAGGTTAGGACCACCTTGTGAAATGCATTGTATAGCGTTCTTAATAGTTTAGACTTTTCCTTCTGTTGAGGATACAGAGATATTGAAGTTTGTTTTTGATTTGTTTTTCAGTAGACAGATGACATTTGTGTTTTAGAATGGCATTACACATGAAGTTAAGAATCTCAAAGTTTACCAGTTCCATACCTAAGATCATCCCTAAAAGACTATTTGGTGAGCGTATGGTTAACCCCATACCTTAAGCAGATTCAGTGACTTCCTAGAATCAATCCTTATAATCGCCTACCACTTTACTGGAAACATTGTTTTTATAGCATATTGTGACAAAAAATTAAAAATATCTTTATATACAAATACACTTCTGAAAAGTAAAATACTTTGTAAGTGGAGCAAGAATTCACTCTTAGTTTCAACAAAGAATCACAAAGCATACACAAAGAACAGGGAAGTGTGGCCCATTCAAAGGAAAAAAAGTAAACCGATAGAAATTGTCTCTGAAAAATACTTGATAGCCTATCTATGAGACAAAAACTTTAAAACACTGTCTTAAAGATACCCAGATAACTGAAGGAAAATGTGGAAAAAGTTTAAAAAAAAATGTATGAAGAAAATGGAAATAACAATAAAGAGAAAACCTAAATAGAAGCTAGAAAGAAATTCTGAAATTGAAAAGTGGAGACTAACGGAGAGGAGAAACTCACTACAGAGGCTCCTTGATTTATAGTGAAGCTTGATAAACCCATGGTAAGTTGAAAATATTAAGTTGAGAAAGTATGTTTAATGCTTGGTAGCACAGCAGATGGTCTCTGACTTACGATGATTCAACTTAAAATATTTTGACTTGATGGTGGAAAGGTGATACTCAGTAGAAATCATAACTTCCTAAATCATAAGGAGCTCTTTGACTTACAATGGGATTATGTCCAGATAAACTCATCATAAAGTTGAAAAATCATAAGTCAAACCCTCATAGGTCAGAAGCCATGGAGAGATTCGAAGATAGATTTGAGTAGGCAGGAAGAAGAATCAGTGAACTTGAAGATAAGGCAATGGAAATGATTGAGGAACAAACAACAGAGATTGAAGAAGAGAAAACAGAGCCTAAAGGACCTTGGAACGCCATCAATCAGACCAGCATATGCATTTTGGCAGAGAATATTTGAAGAAATAATGGTTGAAAACATCCCAAATTTGATGAAAAACATGAACACAAACATCTAAGAAGTTTAGTGAAGTCCAAGTAGGATGAACTCAAAGAGAACCACGCCAAGACACATTATTATCAAACTGCCTAAAATCAAAGAGAAAATCTTGAAAGCAGCAAGAGAGAAGCAACTCATCACATACAAGAAATCTTCAATAATCAGCTGATGTCTCATCAGAAACTTTGGAGGCCGGAAGGCAGTGGGCCAATATATTCAAAGTACTAAAAAGGAAAAAAACTGTCAACGAAGAATTCTATGCCTGGCAAACTGTCCTTCAAAAGTGAGAGAGAAAGTAAGACATTTCCAGATAAATAAAAGCTAAGGGAGTTCACTAACAGACCTGCCCTGAAAGAAATGCTAAAGGAGCTCTTCAGGTTGAAATGAAAGGACACTAGACAATAATTTGAAGCCTGTGAAGAAATAAAGATCTCAGTAAAAGTAAATACATGGGCAAGTATAAAAACTAGTGTTACTGTAACAATGGTGTTTAACTCCAGTTTTTGTTTTCTACATGATTTAAGAGACTACTAGATTTTTAAAATTATTCTAAAAGCTAATGTTATTGTAACATCACATTTTGTTTTCTATGTAATTTTTTTTTTTTTTTGAGACAGTCTCGCTCTATTCCCCAGGCTGGAGTACAGTGGCACAATCTCAGCCCACTGCAACCTCTGCCTCCCATGCTCAAGCAATTCTTCTGCCTCAGCCTCCCAAGTAGCTGGGATTACAGACGCCTGCCACCATGCCCAATTAGTTTTTGTATTTTTTTTAGTAGAGACAGGTTTGCCATGTTGGCCAGGCTGGTCTTGAACTCCTGACCTCAGGTGATCCGCCCACCTCGGCCTCTCAAACTGCTGGCTGGAATTAAAGGCGTGAGCCACTGTGCCTGGCCTGTTTTCTATGTAATTTAAGAAACTAATGCATTGAAGTAATTATTAGTTTATATATTTGGAGATACAAGGTACAAAGATATAATTTGGGGCTATCAACAACTGAAAGGGATGGGGTGGACGTGTTAAAGGAGCAGAGTTTTTGTATGTTATTGAAGCTGGCATAAATTCAAATTAGAGTGTGATCACTTTAAGATGTTAAATGTAATTCCCCTGGTTACAAAAAAAAAAAAAAAACTAAAGAGCATACACAAAATGAAATAAAAGAATTTAAATGTTTCACTACAAAATAAAAGTCAACCAAACAAAAAAGAGTACTGTAGGAAATGAGGGACAAAAAAGTTCTAAGGCATGTAGAAAACAAATAGCCAAATGACAGATAAGTCCCTCTTGGTCAATAATTACTTTGAATGTAAATGGATTACACCCTCTAATTGAAAGGTAGAAATTGGCAGAATGAATATATAACATATTCCAACTGTATGTTCTCTTCAAGAGACTCACTTTAGATCCAAAGATACAAACGGGTTAAAATAGAAAGGATGGAAAAGGATATTCTATGCAAATAGTAACTAAAAGAGAGCTAGGATGGCTATGTTAGTATCAGACAAAATGGACTTTAAATCTAAAAAGGTTACAAGAGACAAAGAAGGGCATTATATACTAATAAAAAGCCCAGGCCAAGCACAGATTGCACCTGTAATCCCAGCTACTCAGGAGGCTGAGGCAGGAAGATCACTTGAGGCCAGGAGTAGGAGACCAGCCTGAGTAACATAGCAATACCTCATTTATTAAAAAATAAAAAAATTAATATGTAGATGATACAATGGTTATAAACACTTAGGCACTTAATAACAGACAAAATATATGAAGCAAAAATTGACAGAATTGAGGGGAGAAATAGACAATTCTATAATAGTAGTTGGAGAATTATACCTAATATATACAGGACACTCTCCCCAACAAGAGAACACTACCCAACAACAGGATTGCATATGGGACATTTTCCAGGATAGACCATAAGTTAATGCCACAAGTTAATTTCAGTAGATTATTTTAAAAGATAAAGTATCTTTTCTGATCACAAATGAAGTTAGAAAACAATAACCAAAGGAAAACTGGAAAATTCACAAAGTGTGGAAATCAAAGAGCACACTCTTAAATAACCAGTGGACCAAAGAAGAAAACACATAGGTAATTATTAGAAAATACTTAAGAGAAAAATGAAAACAAAATGTGACAAAACTTATGGCACATGGTGAAAACAGGGCTAAGGAAGAATTTATGGTTATAAATGCTTATATTAAAAAACAAATATCTTAATCAAATTTTACACCTTAAGTATCTAGAAAAAGAAAAACAAACTAAACCCAAAGCTAACTGAAGGAAGGAAAATAAAGATTCAAGCAGGGAGAAACAAAATAGATAATAGAAAAGATCAATTTGGGTACAACCAACCAAAAGTTGATTCTCTGAAAGTACCAGAAAAATTCCTAGACCTTTAGCTAGCTAGACTAAGAAAAAAGAAGACTCA